AGAATTATTGTCTTGGTACAATGTAAGTGATGACATAGTTGCATTAACATCTTTGGGGGAAGATTAAGTTGAACAGGAGGCTAACATATTGCCTTCATGTCCTTCGAAATATAGTGGGAAAGAGCAGGAAATGCCGGAAGCCTGGAAGCTTTGAGCAAAGAGCAGTAGGTGGGACTGGCCACATATTTGGGGCCACAGGGCTTCCTCATTCACATCTGGGGAACTTCACTGCCCCTTCCTGACAATGTGCTGATACTCGATATTTTATCAGTTTTTAAATCCTTGTTACAATAGCTAGGCCCCTGATTAGAATGTAATACCTCCTTGTGACCTGTTTGAATGAGTGTATGAGCTGGATGGATAGTAGATGTTGCGTTTCATCATTTGGGGTATAGTGAGCCATGGATAGATAAGCAAAACTAAGTAATAACCTCTGCCATCTGTTGCCAACATGGGTGTGACACAGTTTGGTTTTGACGTGTTTGTGAAGTGACTTTAAGGTGAAGATGGAGACAAGCATTTTTTCCCTTTTCCTCTGAAGTTAGAGTCTCAAAACACCCCCACAGCTGTGAAGCTTTGAGAAAGTTGGGAGGGTGGTGAGGGGCGTAGGGAGGGGAGAGATGGCATCTACTTTCTGGCCAGAGACGTTTCATGAACAGAACACACAGCATGTTGGTTTGTCACGTTTTAATGAGATGCTTATGAGAAGTGGTCCGTGGGTCTCAGATTACAGTGACATCTCCCACATGGCATTTAACAGGAATTGTGATTAATGCAAACAAGTGAGTTACAGCCTACTAGAAAAATAAATTGAGAAGAATTAGATTAATATTAAAACATTCTGAATGAGGCGCATATTTTAATGTGAAAACTGCCACACAGCTCTCATTTTATGCACATGTGAGAAACTGCATTTTTCCTTCTCGACATTGTACTCGGAATGCAGATGCTGGTGACACTTTAGTATACTGAGGTCGACACACAAATTCAACAAAATCATTTGATCTGGAATAAATTTTTTTCGCATCTGAATATTTCAACTGTATGTTATGTTCTTTCATGATTTCTTCTGATATTACACATGCATCTGAAGGTTAAAAAAAGGAACATAAAACTTTAAGTAGTACACAAATATTTTCCACAGAACTTTACAATTTCATATAGAATATTCTACACAGATCCATGAATTTATTCTCAAGCACTTTTCCAAAACAATTCATTGAAAATCTATCATGTTGCCATAACTCATTTTCAACTATCGATGACATAAAAATGAGGCACACTCTGGAATGTGTGGTCATTGCATGTTATAATCAACATTCACAATGTCAACTATGCTATCAAGGGCTTTCATTGAAAAATCCTCGAAGGGGGTGGAGGAGGTGGATGTGGGAGGACACCCAGAAGCTGCTGGCCTAATTGAGGGAA